CTCATATTTTCAGTTAGACACTCAGAAGAAGAAATAAAGAAGCTTGGAAGAAAAAGAATACTTTTGCTGCTAATTTGTTATACGTTGTATCTGCTGTTATTAAACATAAAAAATGAATTCTAATTTCAGTTGACATTTTCTCAGATATAAATGTATCCACATTTTGTTAGTTTTATTCAAAAAGAAATATATAAATATTTCTATATATAGAAATATATAAATATATACTCATTTTCATAATTCTCATTTTCAACCTAACCCAAACTAATTCAGAATTTGAATTTAACTAACATCTTAATAGAACATTGATTGATTTTTTAATTTAATTACAACTATAGAAGGATCGGTACAACCAGGAAAAATTACTGATGATCTTTTTCTGCTGGCAAGAACTCTTTATTCCTCTGTCTGCACATCTAAAGAGGTACAGTAAGATTAGGCTATTGGTATGAAGTATATGAAATGGAAATGTTAAATGAATGGGATGTAAATGTGGTTTATCTCTATGTTTCTGTTAATGGCTGATTCCAGGTATTCCCTAGCATTTTTGGATTTGGCTTTATCTAAAATGTAAACAATTTCCTGGCTGAAACTGTTTTTGAGTCTTTCATGTGTAGTGAGATTAAGGAGATCTTGATTTTCCATACCATTTAAAAAATAAAATCAAAAGTCTAGGAAACAAAACATCCTCTCTGGGTTAGGGCAACACCCAGATAAGTGGGAAACAGCACCAGATAAGCAATCAGGGAAGAAACAATACCATAGTTAAGAGACTATCAAGGAAGCCCCCTCCCACCAAGACTGAAGGGCGAGCTACTACAGCTAGCAAACCCTATACTTCGTTGCACTGATGATACTACCTTACCTGGTAATGAAACCTCTGCTAGAAAATGACAAGGCTCAGAGAGCACCAAAAACGCAGCAGTTCAACCTTGAGCTACATATATTCTTTTCTGTTGGATTTATATTCTTCCTTGCTACCAAAGAAAATAGTTCAAGATAAGTAATGATCCTCCTACAATATTTTAAGCTGGTTAGTCTGGACAGGAGACAATACCAGTGTTCATGTCCTGAAAGTGTTTTGATTTTTTTCAGTATTTTCTCAGAATGCACTGAGCTTACCACTAAATCTCTTTGAAAGAAATTGTATGAGCTAGCTAGCTTCAGATAGCAAAGCACTTCCATGTATGTCAAGTACATCTAAAATTAATAAGAAAAATAATTATGTTTAAAGTTGAAATATATTGTATGTTTCACAGATATTACAAAATCATAATGCAAATCAAAATAATGCAGAGGACTTTTATTGAAGTATAGTATGTTTGAAGTTTTTACACAGTACTGGAGTAACATTTTGAGCTTAATGTATGAAACAATGTTTTTTTATATAAGCATACCGTAAATAAGTATATGACAAAATGGGACAAAATGAATTAAAAAATCTTGTTCTTCTAAGATTTTTTCCTATGAAGAAGACATAGCTATCATTTTGTAACAGCTTTCTAATTTGGACTAATTTAATAGCTTTAATTCTATAATATAAAAAATTAACTTATATTCTTGTAGCTGCTATGTGCAGGCAGTGATATCTGGATTGTATTTAAATATATAGTGCCCTATGATGTAAAACTTAGCACTGCCCCTAAAAAAGTGAAAGAGTAGTCATTGGTTTGGTTTCAGTTAGTAACAGTATCAGTTGTACAGAAAGACTGAGCATTTTATTTTTCTGTTTCATTCTTTTAGTGGTCAGTGTTTTCATCTTTAGAATTAAAAAGTAGATTCATAGTTTCAGGTTCTCAGTCAGAAATGGAAAAAAGTAAAGATATGAAAGGGAACTATTTGGGTCTAATTTTTTTTCTTTTATGTTATAGAGCTAGTGGGGAACAAATATTGTTACAACTATTGGCCAACAGAAAAGGGGAAATGTTAGCATTTGCAATAACAGTGACAGCTAACTTACTTGCAGGGTCTCCCAATTTTAAATATTAAGTGACTTTGTGTAGGATGCAACCATGTAGAAGTTGCAATTACTGAAGGAATACAGGACCAGGCATTGGGAGAAAATTAACATGTCAAATAAAAATGTATTTTGATATTTGCAAGGCTTGTTGATAACTATTAGTTAAGAAGCATTTGAAAAATACTTTTCTTTCAGGTTCACCTTCCAGACAGAGAAATGATAATTGATGCAACTATGTTTTTGTGGCAAAAGTGTAAAGTAGGAATTCAAAAGATCCAGATGAGTGGAAGTAACTTCTTAAAGTTCATTCATAAATACCAAACACCCAAGGTAATCCTTTACCATAAAGTTATACTTATAAACTTACAGAGTATCATGAACCTACCTATCTGTAAACAGTTCACTTACTGGTTTTGAAGTGGGTACTGATATTTGCTTTTTAAACTCTGCCTAGTATAACTAGGATAACTTCTGTAAGGAAAATGAAGTTCAGTTTGCTTATGATATGCCATATAAGGCAAGGCCACCATATGTAATCAGCTGAAAGCTGAGCATGAAGAAGGCGATGGACATAGAAGAACTCCAAGTTTTTTTAAAAAGAGATGCACAGTGTAGCCCTTAGGGAATGATAGATGGAAGAAGTAGAAGAAGGTAGAATAACTAAAGATGCAAAGCTGTTATGGGCAGTTTGCAGAGAAGAAATTAGCAAAGAGATTTGGGAAATGTTTATGTTTTATGTTTAATTCTTTTTAAGCAGGCTATCAGGGCAGCTTATTACTATCAATAAGAATACTAATTCAAACATTAGACTGTTGAGATTATTATGATGACTGTTTGCTATTCCTCTCCTGTTTTAAAGGCATTTAGTTAAAATAGTCATGACGGCTGAATAGTTCAATTGTTAATGGTAAGGAAGCAACAGGTAGAAAAAGCAGTAAAACAGGTCACTTTGCTGGGATCTTAATATTCTTCTCCTTGTTCCATATTCTGGATTTTTCAGTCCCTTAGCCTCTCCATTTTCATATAGTGTAGACTTGTTTGATAGGTTTCTTTTCTTATTTTCTATTCTTAGACCATAAGAATGTGACTCAACCAGCGAGGTATGAAACTTTTAGAAAATTGCCACTGTGTTCTCCATGATCTTTATAGAAGGCCCCTAATATTAATGTTTTGTCTGCATTCAGTCCTTAGTATGCATGCTCATAGGGAAATGGCTCCTGCCTTCCCACTGAGTTCCTGCATAGCAATTATATTAGGAGGAAGTTTCATTTCTGCTTTTCTTGAAATGTTCCAAATTGTGGCAGCAGATACATCTTGAGTGGGGGGCATGATATCGGCTTGTTCTGGTATGCTGAAGATTATAGAATGGGTACATTTCATCAGATAGGGATAGTGAATGGCTCATCACAGCCCTTAGTATCATAACTATTTCCTTTTGGATAAGCAATATTATGCAAACTGCAGAAAAAGAGTGAAAAGCAGTAAACAAGATAAACTGGAGGCAAGGGGTAACAGAAGAAAGAAAAAAAATCTAAATCTAATTCACATCAACATCATTCACTATATTTCATATATTTCTATTCTTGCAAAATATTGTTGCTTCTATCATATCCATATACCACTTCGTATAATGCCTTTTGCTTTATATGAACTTCTCATATAAAGATACTTGTTTTGCAGTTTAGTCCTGATTCATACTCTGCATATGACCAGACCACCTCAACATGTTTCTTTTATAATGGTGACTCACTTTTGAATTCATTCTTGTTCAATATTGAACTATTCATTAAACATTCTAAATATAGAATCTTTCATCAAGCTTTTATTCTTCACTAATCCCCTCAGTTTTTCATTGTACTGTAATCAGATCAATAAAATTTCTAGATTTCATTCCTTTTCCATGAGTAGATACAAATAGACATGCTCAAACTGTGCATTCAAAACTAACTGGTACTTAACAGGCATTATTCTGACCCATTTTTGGGTCTCCAAAGGGCCCGATAATTCTCTTGCCTTGTCTTCACCTGTCAGTTTATGTGACTTAACAGAGTAACTTTTGATCTGGATGACATTAATTCAGAATGTTGTACAGTTCTTTTCAAAACTCCTTCATGTTTGTTATCATGACACCAACCTATGAATTCCTATTTTCATACATAGCCACATCACTCTAAATGATACCAGTTCATAGTTTCTGACATGTGTTTTATATCTTTCATTCATAATTAAGTATATAGCTTCAGTTCTTCTCATGTATTTATCAATTCCACTCCATAAAACGGAACATTTCATTTACATCTATTGCAACCTTCCCCTTTTTTTAATAACATATTTGTGTTTCTTTTCTATATTTCATTCATTGATTCATGTTCTTTACCATGTTCTCCTCTTGTACTTCAAATCACAATCTTCCACATGCCATGGGCAAGCAAAGTTTTCATGTAACAGTTTTAGAAAGGAACAAAAAGAGTAGATTGGTTATCGGTATCACATTCGGCACTCCTTAGTAATGATATGATAACACAGTTTTGGCACGTTTTGGCTAGTATATGACACGTATAACCAAACTCAGTTTTATCCCAGTCATGCTGACATTATTCTATGACAGCTAGGCTCTCAAAGACCACCTTGAAACTATCCTACCAACCAAGAGGTATAGTACATGCAGTGTACTGATGGATGCTTAAAATACCCTTCCTTGATGGTTCATTAAATAGCTGCTGTGGAAGCAGTGAATATGTGAATATATGAACTGAAATTTGGTGGGCAAACTTCCTACCAAAACATTTGCCTAGCTCTAGAACATTTCAAATGTTGCCTTGGGTGAGTGAGAACTGGTATGTGTGATTGCATTGATCATCTGACAAACAGCTATAGTAAACAAAATTATCTTGGCATTGTTCTTGGCAATGTATTGTTCATCTCTGTATATTTCCTATTTGTAAATTCTGTAGTAAATTTCTAAAAATCTTCTTTTAATTTTGTTTGTTTGCTTAGTGGCTTCACATTCTTTATATAATTAATGAAGTAATTCACACCATTAATCTTGGAAACATTAATCCTGTATTAATAGCTGAAGTATCATTACGGCTAACATCAGTGATGGAAAATATTGCAGACTTCAAATCTGGAGACACATCAGGTACATGGTTTTTAAAATTTGGTTGAAAACACATAATGCTATATAGTGTTATAAAATATTGAACTAACCCTATTTTATTTAACATCTATATGAACCTGCTAGGAGAGGCCATCTGTCAGTATGGGATGAAGTATCATCAGTATGCTAATGATTTCAGCTATCTATTTCTGTCAGCCTTAGGAGGTAGACTGACAGAAAGTCCCAAGGTCATTGCCACATACTGTTACACTTTCTAATTGGAGCTGAACAGGAGATGCATTAGCAGTCTTGAGCAGTATCTGAAGGCTGTAAAGGTCTGGATGGGGAAAAACAAGGTCAGACCTAACTTAAGCAAGTTAAAGTAGCTGATAGTTGAAAAACTGGCCAATTTCAAAATGGTATCAACTTTGGCTCTGGATAGCATTGTATACCCAGTAAAAAAGCATATGTGGAATCTGGTGTGCTCCTGAACTCATGGCTCCTGTTGGAAGAGCAGGTGGAAGTGGTGGACAGGAAGTGCCTTTTTCACTTCACAACTGGAGTACTGTAACTCACTTTAGATGGGACTGCTCTTGAACACCACCTAGAAACTTCAAGTTGTGCAAAATGTGGCTGTTTTCTGATAATAGGGGAAACCTAGTAGACCTTTATTGTGGGAACTACATAGGCTATCAATTTGCTTCCAGGTGAAATTTGTGCTAATTATTACCTATAAAATTCACCTAGTTATCTTTGAGACCATCTGCATCTCTCATGAGATGTAGTGGGAAGGTACTTGGAAAAGAGTGTTCCCCACAGGTGACCATCTCCTCTGTAACAGCTTATACCTGAGATAGGATCATTTCCTTCCTTCATAACATTTTGGAAATTAGCAATGATCTTGTTCCACAGAGCCTTCTGGGACTGAGGGTTGAAACAGAATCACTGAGTGTCAGTGATTTTGTTCAATATTATGGGTTTTGTAGTTGCTTGTAATATGGGACTGTAAGTCATTTTGGGTTGTTTTTATTGAAGTGGTGTGGAAATTGCATTAATAAATAAATCCATATATTAAAACAATATCAATAAACAGCATGGTATCAGCCACATTACATCCAATCGCTACTTGGCATCCTCCACACTGAAGGTTTTATGGAAGAGCATAATCTTAATGGTCTTCCTGCATGTTAACATTGAGGGAGCCATCTAACCTCAGGGGAAGGTTATTCCAGAGTAAGGGTGTTATGACTGAGAAGGCCTGTCTCTGGGCTCCTGTTCCCTTAACAACTTGGGAGAGTTGAATCTTTAGCATGCCCTCTTGGCCAATGTGTATTGGATGAGTGGGTTCTTTTGGAACAGAAGATCCTTAGGTGAAAACCCAACTTGTAAAGAACTTTATATGTAATAACCAGCACCTTGAATTGAACCTAGAAGCCAGTGCAGCTCATGCAATAATGCAGCATCAACAAGTAGATAGCTGCATGTTGCATCAACTGTAGCTTTCGAATGACAAATATATGTCAGGGATAGTGGACTGCTCAGCTTCCTGAGCCCCTCAGGGCTTACATTCTTCAAAATAACAAAAGATGTTAACAAAAGAAATTATCTAAAATTCTCATATTTAAATCAATAAAGAGATAGAAATGTAATCCTTTAATCCTACTCATCTGCTAAAACAACTATTACATCAACATAGCATTTTCAGTACTTCCACACTTTGTTGGATAGTCAATTTCAGAAAATGCTGCTGCTGCTTTGCAGTTGTGTGATAAGGGTCTCCTGCAATTCTATTCAATTCCCCATTGTGTTCAACTTCTACATGAAATAGTGAGATTATTTGGAAGATGAGGGCCGGGGTGTCACCTGTATTTGTCACCAATAACACCCAGCTTTTCTTCTGTTTCTAAGATTTTGATTAGGTATTTTGAACTGGTGTTTGGATATGCTAATAGACTTGATGAATCCAGACAAGATGGAGGCACTAGGGTTGTTTTTTCTGTTAAGTTAAATGTAGCTGATCTGTTCTGTGTATAATTGTACTCTCCCAAAGAGTTCTTGAAATACCAGTGGCCTCAAGGATGCAGAACACCTTTTTTCAGCATCAACTGATATACCAGCAGTGGCAGCATTTAGAGAAAGATATTTGGACTGCTGCAGTGGGTTGGTTATAGAGCTGCCTTATAAAATGTAATAGGAATTTCAGTTAGGGCAAGATGGTATAGTCATAAATAGTGAGATCATCTCTTTTGTGTTTCTTGTAAATCAGAATTATAATAGCCAAGCCCCAGAACTTCGGAATCTTGGTGGAACAATCTTTCTATAAAAAGAGAAGGCAGCACTAGGATTTACCAGTCCAGATTACTATTTATGACTTCACAAGTAAGGAAATCCATACTTGCAATTTTTCCTGATTTAAGCTACTTAACTATGTCTTCAGTTTCTGAGTATGAAACTAGGGACCACTGGGGTAAGGAGATCACATCCAATCCATGTCCACAGAGGGGGCCTCAATCTAAAGGAGAAAAATTATCTTCCCAGATATCAGTAGGTATGTTGAGAGGAGGGACAAGACATTTGAGAGAGATGGGACTATAAAATTCCAGAGAATGGCAGGTTCTTTGTGGGGGTTGCTGCTATCATACATTGCCAGGATTCCCTAATAGCTTTCCTTCTTTTCTCACAAATCAATTGCTTATACTGTTTTTGTTTAGTTTCAGTAACTGATTGAACAAAAAAACAAGTTTCTATTTATACAGTTTGAAATATTGACTCTTAGTGTTTTGGCATTCATGAACAAACCAGGTGTGGTACTTATTTGTGTGCCTCCTGACAGTAGGGGATTGTAAGATGGTCAACATCAGCTGAAACAACTTAATTAAATTCTGGTGCACCTCCCACTATTGCTGAATGGAATAAGTTAGTTGGTTCCGATAATCATCAGTTTGGACCATTTAGCCCAAGTGAGGCAGAAGTCATCAGTTACAATTGTGGTATGTCAGAGCTGAAAGTGCTACCTGTCAAAGGTTCTCAGAAATAAAGTTCCTGGGAAGTGATTGCTTTCAGGTCAATTGTCTAAAGTAAATTTAAATATGTAGGCATTATGGCATGTAATATCTCAATATAATCTATCAACAAAAAGTTAGAACCAGCCCAATGTACATTTTTGATTGGAAGGTCATCACTTGTGGGCCCATTACAAATTGTCAAATTCAATTTTGTGGAAGTTTGGAAAAGACAGAGGCCTTTATAATTCGCAATCACTTCTTTAGATTGACATTGTAAAAGTGGGAACATTCTGTGGACTGGCAATGAAGTTTGGCAGAAACAATTTATCTCACAATTTCTCACATTGAAATAACTAACAAATATTGAGCGTACTACATAACTCTTTTATATACGTTCCATTTATTTATTTATCTATCATATTTATATAGCCACCCATCTCACACAAGGTGACTCTGGGCAGCGTACAACAATTATTTTACCTTACTGAAATTTTATCTGTGACTGTAGCATGAGGGGGGAATATATACATTAATAAAAACAGGAATTAATTAAGCAATGCTGCCATTACATACCATTCCAGTGATTGGAGATTGAATATAGGAACCTGCAGGAAGTGGAAATTAGCATGCCTAAACCCCACAAAGTGTCCCTTGAACTGCTCCAAGCACAGCTTCCAAGATAATTTTCTTGAACTCTTTAGGAGCACTTTGCCCGCATTCCTAAAAGAAGACTATGTTATAGTTGAAAATGTATGCCAGAAATGGTGGATTTTTTCTTCTGGCTTTCCACTCTCCAGTGTCCCAGGGTATGAGAGCCAGGGGGCAAGCTGTAGTTGAATGCTTCAACAGGTCAGGGTATCACTACAGATATTTTATGAGAGACTCCAGGCCCATTATAGCCCACATCACATTTATAGTTGTCAGTTGTCTCTCAGTGAGGATGGAATAGAAGCCTTCAAAGCCTTTTTTACATTCTTTGAATTCTACAAGGCTAGACTCATGCCTCTGTGTTGTGCCTCAGTCCACAAGAGGAGCAGATTGGTAGGGCTTCAGAATCCTCTATTTCAGTGCTAGGGAAGGATGGTGCAGTCCCATTTTTGCAGCCATCCAAATTGGTTAATTGAGCAGCTGTTTCATGCACTGCAGATAAAGTTTGCTTGAGATCACCCAGTCTCTTTAGTAGATCCTCCTGCTTATAACTTGGCAAGGCTCCCGAAGTGTCAGTTACTTCTGCCCCTAGAGAGTCAATGGCAATCTGTCTTCCTGTCATTTTCTAAGGTTGTTTATCAAGGAGGCTGCTCTCAAGGAAACTGCTTGTTTGGTCTTCGTGCTTATCTGTAGCTGCCACATTTCATGTTTGAAGTACTGACAGCATCTTCTTGGTATAATTCAAAGAGTGAATAATCTGTACCTCACAAAATACAAAATATATTTTGGAAATATAAAGTGCCCCAAAAGACTTCATTTTAAAGAGCAGGCTTAGGACCCTGGGATGCTTAAACATTTTGCTGGGCAGCCACTTTTACTCTAACAGATCAGTTGTATAGTAAAGACAGCAAAGTAACTAGTTTACAGAGAAACAAATTGCTTCTTTGAACCCCACAGGCTTTTGAATCTATCAAGAATGATTGGTAAAGAAATCTAGCTATTTTGGAAGGTGTTGTTTTTACTTCCAGACTCCTGTCTTTCATGAACCAAGGAGAGGCTGTTTCTGAATTCATCACCCATTTTGTTGGATTCATGGTTAAGATCAGATTTTTTTTTTTTTTGGATAAAGGTAGTTTGCTCATTTTTAGATCCAGGACTTAGTTCTGTAGCAGTCTCTGCTAATTTGGCATGATAGGAGTGAGTGAATACAACAAAGGACTTCTTCAGTGAGTCCACTTTTCCCTATTAAATATTCAAAGATTGAAATTACAGTCTGTGCACTCAATAAGCACTGAATGGATACAAAATATGTAACCTTGTCATTATTAAGGATCTCTTCCTGGCAGCTTTTTGTGGTGAATGCTGTGGCAGAAGGAACAGCAGTTGCCATAAGAGAAGGAGCTGTTGAATCTGGAGTGCCCAGGGACTCAGATTCCTCATGGTAGAAAGTAGAGAATTGGGCTGTTAGTTGGGACACACTCTCAGTTTTCAAGTCCCACTCCAGCACATTATATTTGTTAACCAGTGCCCTAGTCTTGTTCCAATATTAGCTTTGTTATTATTTCTATTATTACTTACATCATAATTCCTCTTCTTAGGTCCTTTGAGATTGTCAATTTTTTGTTGTGTGGATGGTTTGTGTAACATTTTTATTCCAAAGTTCACTCTCTGTTGTTTTTTCTTTTTCTCATTATATTATCTTTTCTTTTAACAGGGAGTATAGATAAAATATGTGGCCTATAAAGGATAAAAGCTAATCATACACAGTTAAGTTCAGGATCTGGTGAAATAAAATAATAATAAAATAGGGAGTTTAGAAAGGCAGCAGAGAGAGCTAATAAAAAGGTCCTTTCACTTCACCATCTAGAAGTGTTTATATCTATCAGTTCCTATTAACAGACATATTACTTTATAGCTATTGTAATTCCTGTGCTTTCAAACCAGTATTTTGTCACTTATCCTGTTCAGGTCAATTCAGAGTGCTGGTGTTAATGTATAAAGATGGCTTCTGCCTGTAAATTTGTGTATTACCATTATTATGATAAGTGGGATATTTTGGGCCTTTTAATTGGTCAAGTTCTTTTAGGCTGTGAATTTTAGGTCTTGGCACTAATTATCTTTTCTCTTACTGATTTTACATTTCTGTGTTAATATGTTAATAAGTGTGGTTGTTGTTGTTCAGTTGTTAAGTCGTGTCCGACTCTTCGTGACCCCATGAACCATATC